CACAACCAGGAGGTCATCAGGAGGAGCGGGGCAGGTAGGCCCTGGATTGAGTGCCTCACCAACGCGGTGCCGGGAGGTCCAAGGGAAAGCCGGAGTCCCACCAAGACGCTGAGCAGTTGCCCCGGACTCAATATCGCAGTGGGCTCCATGAGGAACCCCCGCGCTGAGAAGGAAGTGCTGGGCACAGGGCGCATGCTGAGCGTCATAGGCGGCACAGGTGCCAGAAAAGCAATGAAAGAGAAGAGCCCAAATGAGCCAGAGTAGGCTCGGTCGGCCGAGACGATGGCTTGGCCTCCCAGCAGGCCGAGGCTGGGAGCCAGGGGGGCGTAGTCACTCCGTGCGCGCCTTTTTGGCGAGCAACGCCTCAAGGCGGGAGAACTGGTCGTCGAAGTGTTGGTGGATGTCAGTTTTGAAAGAATGGAAGTTCTGCTGCATGCTGTCCGATGAGCTTCGAACTTGTTGCTGCACGTCGGAGATGGCTTGCTGTTGCTGGACAACGATGCCCCGGAGTTGTTGCAGATCATCAGCTTGCTTGCGGCTGCTTTCGCCGGCTTGCTGGAACCAGGATTCGAATTTGCGGCCTTGCTCCTGGAGCTCCCGAACGTTGACTGCAAGCTGGTTTGACTGAGTATCAGAGGAGCTGGCAAGCTCGGCTAGGACTGATTGGCGAACATCAGTCCGTAGTTGTTCGCCAAGCTGGTCGAGCTTCTTGGCAGTGGCCGGGGCCGGTGTGGACGTGACAGGCATGTCGACATCAGAGCTGGAAGAGTTGTGCCAGCGGGCCCAAGGATCAGTGCCATTCTGCCACGGATCGGCTCTGCTTTTGGCGCTGGTCGTTGCAGTGGTGGTGGTGGTGGATGCAGCCCTGATGTGGCGGATAGTCTTGCCTGAGGCAGTGAAGCCTGAGGCTGGTGGTTCGCGCTGTCCGATATCACGCACCTTGGTGATGATGACTTCGCCATGTGGCCCAGGCTGGATGGCTTTCTTTGGCGGTTCGGAAGCACCAACTTCCCAAACTGCTCCTTCTGCGCTACCGCGCGATGCCTGCATGGGACGGGCAGCCCATTCCCATCCAGTGAGAAGTTGTTGCACTGCTGATCGCTGGATTCCATGGGGCAGAGGAAAGATGCGATAGATGCAGGAGACTTTGATGTTGACAAAAGGCAGTCCCGGGCGAAGGAAGGAGTGAGCAGCTGCCTCGTTGGTGGCTTTGACACGAATGCCAAATTTGGTGTTGAGGCGTGTAAGGCTGACGGTGAAATCACAGGTTCGAGCTTTATGGCGTGCCTCAGGGCCTGTGGCGGCTGGTAGCCACACAACGGAGAAGGTAGCGTCGACAGCCCGGCCATTTGTGGAGCGTGGGTCGAAGTAGATCCCATTGGAGCCAGAGGCGATGTGTAGGTGGCTGCCAGCGGAGAGCGGCACCCTCACCAGAACTTGGAAGACCGTGCTGTCGGCCGGGGTCACTTTCTGACCAGCAAGGCTGGAGTATCTCCAGGCCCAGGCATCAAGGATGACGGCTGAGACAGCTTCCTCAAGAGAAGGGTGGAACTTGCCGCATTTTTGCCCGCAGGCATCGTCTTGGCAAAGTTGCAGGCAGGTTGTGGCTCTGATGACGTTTCGCAAGGGAGCTTTGATGAAGTCAGGCCAGTCGTGGGGTAGCTCGTCCTTGAAGACGCTGATGCGAAAGATGCATAGGTCAGGCTCATCTTCAAGGGGTTGGTTGGCTGGCTGAATGCGCTTGACTGAAACATCGCCGAGTTGAATCAGAGTCCCCGTGAGCAAAACCGGCTCATCCGTGCCGGTGTACAGGGCAGGGAAGCGAACAGCCTCAGTAGTGAGCCCCGCAAGGTTGACAGGGAGCTCGGCAGTTGTGAGGAGTGCAAGGGCGTCGATTGAGATGGAAATTCCATCAGCCAGGAACCTGTTGGCTTCAGTGGCCGGGACGATGGCAATGCCCCTGCGGTTGGCACCGACCTCCGAAGCTGGGATCTGTTGCAGGGGTTCGTCCTGGTCGTCGACAAAAGTGCCGGTTGGGATGACAAGGTGCTCAGGGCTAATCTGAAGCTCCGATTGGTGTCGCGCTTTTTTGTCGGATTTGAGCTTTTTCTGCTTGGCGTTCGGGATGAAGGCGCCGTGTTCTCGTTGGGCTTGTGTGGCAATGTGGTTGTTGAGCTCATCGGTGGAAATCCATCTGAAGCGTGTGGCCGGTCGAGAGGCAGCGGCCTTCAGGGATTGCCAGGGGTTGCGGGATTCGAGTGCTTCTTGCACCGTAGTGGCGCTGAGTTTGGCGATGGCCTGGCTTGCGCGGTCTTGCACAGCCTCGGGGGGTACCCCCTTGGTGAGCAACAACTGTGTCAGGTCGTGGGTGATTTGCTCAGTTGGGAAGCCGCCTGCAAAAAGCTCATCAGGGTTATGGGTGGTGGTGCCGTAGGCAAGATGCCAATTGTAGATGCTCTCATGGGTAATGGTATCCCAGAGATCTGCTGCTATACCGAAATGGGCAAGAGCAATGGCACCGCAGGTCCCTGGGGCAGCCTGCTGAAAGTGGTTGCGGTGGACAACACCTTGGTGATTGCAGTGCATGAGGTGGCAGATCCGAGTGGCGAGGATGTCGGCAGCGTTGTGGTTGAGGTGTGGCAGGCCGTCCCAGCAAGTGATTTCAGCTGAGCCCTCCTCACCAAGCTGCAAGGTGAGCAGCGTCCAGTGTTGGTTGTGGGGAAAAACAGTGGCAAGTCGGTGGTACTGCCGTAGGGACTTTCCGAGCGCACACACATGGTGTGGTGAAGGGTCGGGTCGTAGTAGATCTGCTGCAGCAACTGGGAGAATGATCCCCCAAGGCTCGGGATCGATGGAGGCCACAAACTTGAGGAGTTGGCCAATGTTGTGGATGACTGCTGTGTCGCTCCAGCAGATGGTGGCAGGAGTGCCACAGGCTCGCAGATTGCCGCAGTGCAGGATGACTGCGTTGTTCCAGAGCCGCTCATCAAGTGTGAGGAAGGCTCCATTGTCCTGGTTGATGTAATCCCCGCTGAGGTGCTCTGGAAAATAGCAGATGGCCTCTGCGAAGAGAAGACCTGAGCTCAGGTAGTAGGTTTCGCGGCCGGCCGCGTGCAGGAGCTGGACACTGATGGTCCCTGTGGGCGGATTGAGTGCTTGCTTCTTCTGGGAGCGATGAACTTGGTAGGTGTCGTGCGGTGTTGCGAGCAGTAGCTCATCCGGTGCTCGCTTGAGGCCTTTGTGTCCGATGTGGACCGTGGCTGCCCAGCCTTGCAGCTTGGTCTCGGCTTGCTGTAGTTGTCTGATGGTAGTAGGTTGGTTGAGGTTGATGTGGACATCTGGTTCGTTGTGCTGGCGAAGCCTGATGGTGCGTGGGCAGAAGTGGTGCCGAGTTGCAAAAATCAGATCCCGGTCGACAAGGAGCTTGGTCTGATACTCCTGGACAAAGTTGATTGGAGAGCGTGGGGCATGACCGATGTGGAGTTCGGCGATCCAGTTGGTGATGTGTGAGAAGACCCACACTGCCTGCAAAGGCGCCGCAATTTGTCCGATAAGGACAAGAGCTCCTCTGGCCGGTGATGGGAGCGGAATCGAAGCTGGCCAAGTGTTGAGCAGGCCTGCTTCTTTGGGGTGTATGAACCTAGGTTGGCCCTGCAGCGTGGACGGGACTGAAAATCCACGAAGTCCATGCTGCACGAGTCGATGCTCCGACAGTGGATGCTTGCGGCATCCGCAAGGGCAGGCTCTTAAGGCAGAGCCCCAGGAGTGCAGTGCAGTGGGAGCAGGAGCTCGTAGGTCGAGTCCACGATTGTCCGTGCCATAGATGGGGTCCTGGTACTTTGTGCACTCATTGGAGTCCCACAGCAGGTTTTCTTCTTCAGTTGTTGGCCAGGCAGGCCACTCCGGAATGACGTCATGGACCGTGCTGTAGCTGGTGGATTTTGGCCAGGCCGTCAATGCGAAAGTGGCAGCTTGATGGTGAGGTAAAAGAACACACCACCAACGCTTGCGTCTGCTGGCCCATTGGTCCTGTAGGTCCAGGATGGTGGTGTGCATGCGCCAGCCCCTGCTGCGAGCATAAGCCTGTATAAGGTTGAGCGCCTCCGGGTAGTTGATGATATTGGCAACGCACTCAAGGATGATGCCAGCACTTTGCATCAGCCATCCACATCGAAGTATAGCATGCAGGGTTTTGCCGCGCAGATCGGCAAGGCCTAAGCCATCTCCTTGGCAAGAGTATGGCTGGCACGGAAAGCCTGCCGCTAAGAGACAGGGTGTCCCTCCAGCGCAGCTGTGGAGCTTGTGAACCATGCTGGGATTGGCGACATCGCCGAGCACGACATTGCTGTGTCCCTGTAGCCGGAGTGCATCAACTGCAAGCTGTGAGTGGTCAAGGTGTGCAAGTGGGCGCATGCCGGCGTGCTGCGCCCCCAAAGACAGGCCTCCAATTCCGGCGCAGGCTTCCTTGAAGCACAAGAAGGCCTCCCGGGTGTGCGTGGGGCAAACAACCACGTTGTCATAGCTGTCCACCTGCAGGAGTGGCTGCGAAGAGGCCGCGAAGGAGACCTTCGCATCGTAGATCGCAACCAGCTGATCTGCCTTGCAAGGCAGGTTGAGGAGGAAGTCCTGCTGCGGCGACACCCCCATGAGCAGAGCTCTGCCATGCTCATCGCACCCAAGAGAGACCTTGGCCACGATGCTGACGATGGTGCCTTCCTGCTGGTCGGCCAGAAGCAAATCCATGGCAGGTGTCCCGAGGCTCTGCTGTCAGACCGGTCTCACCGTCTGAGAGGTGCTCGGGCCGAGACTGTAAAGCAATTGTAAATAGACCCAGTATGAAAACACAGGTTGCTTCTTTCTGCTTGGAATTCAACAGGTTTGGTAGAAGTTATGGAACGCAACGAAGCAATCCATGGGCTAAGAAGCCAAATGCCGGCAGGTCCCCCGGTGCAACCGGACCCAGCCGCTTGTACTGATGTCCCTTGATTGAGCCCTCCGGCAGTGACTCCAGAACTACTGCCTGCGCAAAGACTTGAAGTTGGGATGGGATGGGACGGGGTGGGCTGGGCTGGGCTGGCTGGCTGGCTGGTTGGATGGTTGGTTGGTTAGTTGGGTGGCTGGTTGGGCTTCCCAGCTTTCCTAGTGGTTTCAAAGCTTTGGGGGAACTGTCATTGGTAGCATGGGTGCAGGAAAATCCGCTCTTTCTGCGACTCCAATGTGGTTGGTTTCCTCTTAGTTTTTGAAACTATCCAAGAGAGGATTTACTAGCTTGGGGTTTATCCACACGGTAATGCAAAATGGAAAGGCCCCCTCTCTGTGTAAAATCTCAAACCACCTGCTTCCCATAGTATATCATACCAAACTATATGCTCTGTAGCCCATAGTTGCAGAACATAACCTCTTCTGTGATTGTAGAGCCCTTCGTTCCCTGGGCTGTCTTACACCACGGCGAAAGTAGATGGCGCAAATCCAACGAGATTGTTGGACAAACCTGGAGGAATTGTGGCACTCACGGCTCCATAGATTCAAGTTTGGCCGTGTTTCAGAGAGTGTTGCGCTCTGCTCCCTTCACACCAAGCTAAATGATCTTGACCGTAAGTCGTGTCATGCTATATTAAATTCAGATTTGATGTTTGTGTGATGACTATTGTTCACTTCAGGGTGCTGTGCAGTGCGAGAAAGTCCAAATTTCAGGGCTATGTTCAGGGACGCAGGGATCCCTCTTTTTCCCCATTTAACATCACCTACTCAGAAGGAACTCTTATTCATCTGGCCAAAGATGTGGATTAAACCAAGTAAAGACGGACATGTAGGGAGCTCTGGTATCCTATGGTGCGTGAGCGATCTTGGGAATAAAGCGGGAATTTCATGCCACGTGGGTGTTGTGACGCCGAGCCATCACTGAAGGCAACCTTGGACATTGCAGCCGAACGAAACAAACAAAGTCAGCCGGCAACAAAACCATGAAAGCAAGTACTTTTTCACCTCAGAAACATGGAGCCCCGGTTGTAGAGAAAACTCCTTTTTGGGAACCCCTTTTTTGTGGGTTCCATGTTAAATTGGGTAAGCGTAAACACCCAACCACCTGACCCTGCATGGCAAGAACAAAGGTCCAAGCAGCTCAAAGAAGCGAGCGAATGACGTGACCCGGCAATGTCTCGACGCATTTTCCAACATCGGTCCTCACTCCAAACTTGAACATAATGTATCTCAACCAGCTTGCTCCTTGCATGCTCTTCTTTTCACCTACACAAATCTGGAACTTTCCCAGCGCCAACCTCTACTTACTGTTGATATGAGGAGCATGCCTCTGGTTGATTTATTGGGGCCCCCTATATTTACCCTTGAAACCTCTCCCGTCACCCTTTCAAAATCGGTCCACAAGGTGATGTCTCAGCCCAGCAGAAGGGGAAAATATGCTTTTTGGGGCACCCCCTTTTGGTTGGCTTCAAAGAAAAAACAAGAGGAACACCGAAACCATTTTGCGGGTCAAAGAAAAAACACACACCCAAACATAGGCCCCCCCCCCGTTATTTTTCCACAGGGTCCGCATTTTTCCGGGTCGCTGGGTCAGGTCCCCGTCCCCGTCGGCTCGCGCAAGTCTCCGATTGCCTCAGCGGCCTGCCGCGGGAGGAAGGTGATCTGGATATCTCCCGTGCTGGACCTAGGTCGGATACGAAGAATCCTCTTTTTTCACTATACCCAAATGGTGGTTCAAAGGGAAAGTCCCAGGAACTGTTGAGGAACTGTTGCGTTTGTTTTTGAAATATGTCATGTTGTCTTGGAGAGTTGTGAAAACTAAAAGAGCCAAAAGGAAACCAGGAAAGCCACCATTTTGGGGTCCCCGGCTGTTAACGCTTACCCAAATTGCTGCTCATTGGGCAACTCGATCCAAGAACTGCTCGCTTTCATGATCCCACTGGTCTCAATTCCAACAGTGACAAAACATCCCACGTGGACTCCAGCTCAAGTTTTTGCAGAGGGGGTTGGGCCAAAGCCTTGCTTAAGCCGTGGGTTGGCCCAAAACAGCGTGAGCTTTGGGTTCACCAACATTATGGTAGTCCCAAAAAGTGACGAAAGGTCTATCCAGGAACTCAGGGAGAAGAAATTCCCAAGAAATTCCCCTTTGACAATCAACCAGGGTTGGGTGTCACCCCAAACGAACAAATTTCCCGTTGGTTTCCTTTAGGGGGACCAGGGTCTTCTTTTTTGAAGCACAACTGCACCATTTTGCTGCCCTGCCTGATGTAAGAGAGGGGGATGACAAGGGCCGAAGAAGTCAGATTTTGCAGAGCTCGTTGGCCCCAACTGCCCACGAAACATCTCAAACAAATTGGTTGAACATCCAAACCCTCCCCCTTGATAAGAACCCATAATTGCTCAATATGTGGGAGTTAGGGGACCCCTTTCTGGATAAAAGGGAACCAAAAGGACCGCTACCTGTAGAGATCGGTCCCCAATTTCGATTTCTACACCCAGACTGCACCACTCCGCTCCTGCAACGGACGCCGCGGAGTTTTCTCCTCAACCGAAGCTTCTCGGCGGCTTTCGCCGGGGCAGCGACATGACGGCATCCCCCGCGTCGATGGCCACTTGCGCAATCTCGGAATCTCCAGCTCGCCGTCCGTGTACACCTTAAATGGTGGGAAGCCCACAGCGTCTCTGTGAAGGAAGCCTCGAAGTATCAGCTGAGGCTCCGGTCTTTTGACAGGATATCCGATGTGTTCGATCCAAACGAAAACGTACGTACCTCCACGTCGACACAACATGTCCACAACACTTCAGTGTTCAAAGATAAGAATTCTGCTATGCAGGAACCCCAAAGCAAATGGGCAATAGAAAGCCATGCGGTCCGAACCCAAAGGCAAGCCAACTTCGCCCTGTGAACCGTACCTCGCTATCTCTATGGCCTGCACATGTCCATCACACCACTTTTCTGCAGGCAAAGATAAGCTCAAGGCACCTCAAACTTATATTATCCATTTACTCACGAAACCATGGGGCGCCCTGGAAGGATGCGGATCGAGTTTTTTCTCTACCACACCCCGTAGATTGATTCCTATGCAGCACTGCAGTACAAAAGGGTCCTTCATGAAAAGGATGCGGACTGTTTTCGGTGCCCATTACTGTCAGGGCGGGTTTTCTTGAGAGCCCAGCAGGGCGTCGGCGAAAATGTTGGAGCTGCGGTAGAGCGAAAACTCCCCGAACCTGGCTGGGATGCTCTGGGTTCTACGCCCGTAAACATTAAGATGGAACGTAAACAACCATGGAGGATTCTCTGGGATTCCATCGGATCCGCTGTGGGAAAATCTGCGATTGGAGTTTGTCTCAAAGGTGGCACCTTCTAAAGTGGTGTTTTTCTTATCCTCGGCTCCGGAATTTTACGCAACCGTCAAAGAGAGACACACACGCACACACACACACACACAGGCGACATAATTGGGTGAGACTCAAAATAGGGACCACTTTCTTCAGGTTGGTTCCCGTTGGTTCCCTTCTGGTTTCCTGCAAAACCGCATCCTAAAAGGGGACCTCTTTGATAAACAAACTTCTTTGATAAACACAAACAAAAAAACATTCAGTGAAACTTAAGTTGGGCACTTGTCTTCCTTGTGGTGTCCCGTCTTTCCAACCAAACAAGGGTACCCACAAAACAGCCAAAAGACCTTCCAGCAAACGGGTGTGTGTCTAAAGACAAGGGGCCCCTGCTCAACCCCCCCTCCAAAAAAAAAAGGAGAAAACACAAAAACAAAACAAGGTCGTTCGGATTGCCTTTTGGTTTCCCGTTGCAACCACACAAGCAACTTGGTTACTATTGACCCCTCTGCAAAAAGTTTAACGTTTTGTGGGTGGAAAAAAACCGACCTCTTTCAACCACAAAGCTCTCCTTTACCAAAAAGCCCTACAATACATGGAAATGCACAACCTGGTTACTACATCCCAATCAAAGGCAGTGTGTACGCGTGTATATATAAACCCTTGCTACGAACCCCTATGGCTCAGATGCCCAGTGGATTTCCATGGAACAAAAAGGGCAGGCATCCTTTGTTGGTTGGTTGACTGTAATTAAAGGGGAACCCTTCCCAAAAAAGAAGAAAAAGGGCACCACTGGGCAACTGGGATGGGTTCATTAACCGGTCGTTCTGATTAACCGTTAAGAAATGTGGCTGTGGCTCAACCTTTAAGGAGCTGGGGTTACGCAGGTTTAGTGTTTATTTCCATTCACCGCGGTGCCATGTTGATACTTTTACTGTGAGCCACAGCCGTGTGTTGAACCAAAGCGACTCATTGAGAGACACTCCCCGTCCGTCCTGGGCGCCATGGGAGACGGAAGCTCCCAACGCCCTGAGCAAAAGTTTCGGGGTAGACCTCCCAGTCGAAAGCTCGGTCGCTTTCTGCTCCCTGCTAGAAAGTTTAACTTTTAGTGGTTTAGTGGAAAACCCATTAGTTGGCACAAAGTGAAAGTCCTAACATCCAAGCAACGTGCGCCAAAGGAAAGCTCGGGGTGGTTTGCTCCAGGTCCACCAGAGGTAACTTACCCTACCCCCCCCAACACCCTCAGAGGCGTGACCTCCTTTTTGAGGGTTTAGGGGGTAAAGGTGTGCAGGATGACCCTCGTTCGGTGGCAGAGGTTGCTCTTGAGCTGGGGTTTATCAACCAATATTTACCGGGATTCATCCACCCCCAACTGGTGCAGCACGTTGTCCGGTGGGTATTTTGAGTATCTAGCAAAGTCCATGATCATAAAGGGCTCTCATATGTAAAGTTGTAGGTTTCCACAATATTTCCTCGAGTCTTTATATACGTAGGCATATCGTCTCTGGCGCAACAGGAAGCACAAGCAGAAAGTCGACCTCGGGGGCGAAGAAGCCTTGCAGAGGCCGATGGTTTTCAGGTAGTCAACCCAAGGGGGGTCTGTGCACTGCCACGATTCTGCTGGAAAGAGGATACGGCATACGGTACCCTCCCAAAAGACTTTGTTTGCCATGTTTGGGGAAGCTAGGTGCAATGATACCCAAAGATTGATTTCAAAGGAAAGCAGCTCGTTTACCATGTTCAACCAGGTGCTTCACACTCCACAAACCTCCCCCACCCAATCGGTTTATGCGCTAAAGGGGAGGGAACCCCCGTGAATCCCTCCCAGAGCCGAAGTTGATTGACATGCGGACCAGCATCAGCGTAGCAACCTAGTCAACAGGCCCCCAGCTGTACCCGGGTGTGTCTGGTTGGTTTGAACTGGAAATAAAAAGTGAAACCTGCCATCTGGGGGGATCTCACACATTTTTTCCAAGTTCGAATCTTTTGAAAGAAAAACATGTGCCCATGTTCAGAATGCTGGATGCCGCGCGTGAAAACGAGGAACGCGCAAAAATCGTGCAACAAACCTGTCGCATGCCCTCTTTGAACATGCCAAGGAACCACCCAAGACTCTTGAATCAGAGTGCTCACCTCCAATCCAGAAGATGTAACCTGTTGCAATTCCCGCATTCGGACACATGTCGCATATGATCGCGCCGGGTTGGGAATTAATTCCGTGCGGAATGCAAAAAAAGCCTGTCTGTGAGTGTGTGTGTGTGTGCTCATTGTGCCTCTAATTGCACACAGAAACACCAAGCACCAAACGACCCACCCCGGATTTACCGGGTCACGCCTGCCACTTGTGTAGCTGGCAGCGACTGGGCAGCGACTGCATGGAAGAGATTCCAACATTGTCCTTTCACTCACACGCCTCCAGCACTGTTGGCCTCCTGCAAATCCACTTGAAATACCAACATGAGCGGTTCCTCTTGCTTTTCCCTGCGAACCAAAGAGGATTCACTTGCTTAGTTGTGGAAATGGGAAGGCCCCTTGTAAAAGCCTTGCGCCTTGAGTCAATTCGACGATCCATTTCCCACTTACAATATTGATTGGTCCACATCTGAAGCACACAGAATAAAACATGCACTGACTCTGCTCCACGGGTAACCCTATCAAGAACCAAATAATTTCGGAGGAGACCGATGTGCAACAATTATCACTTCAAATGGCAATCCCTTGGCCAGTCGCTTGCCATCGCTTGGCATTGTGGCTACCTCATCCCGTCGATTTGGCGATGTGGTTAAAAGGGAAACTCGGCCGCGAAGCGTGGTCAAAAGCCTCAGCACCTCACATGTTTCGCAGATCTATGGATTTAGTTCTTCATCTGCACCTGAAAAGAATACTTCATCATCTGGAACCAAGGAACCCTAGCCACTTTACGGGTGAGCTCGTTTTACCAATCAAGCTCGCAAACATGTTCCCTTCAAAAAGAGCCGTGCCCAAAGACCCAAACTGCACTTCCCGGACTCGCCGACTGCAAGGGAGGGTTTCGACAGAATTTGCATTGGAAGGTTCCATCCAGGCGATGCAATTGACGCTCAGATGCTGAACCCCAGGTCAGGTGCCAACAAAGGCCCCTATATTTCAAACAAGTACCCAAAGGGAAGCAAAATGGGGTTCCATACTTAGTCGGAGACCAACATCAAGCAAGCAGGTCTTTCGACTACACGAATCTGCAAAAACGTACAATATGTCCAAAACCCGATATTAGGAATCCCCAAATAAAGGATCTTTAGCCGCTGGTGAGCGCGTTTTAGCCCCTGGTGAGCTCGCTCGCCATAAATTAAGGCAGACCGATGGAAGAGTTTGGGGTTGCGCATGGCGCAGGATTCGGCTCGCTGGGTTTGCGGCCAGCGTCGCCAGAAAGGCATCGCTTCCTCCGGAAAGGCAATGCCAAAAGGGGCCGAACAACTCGTGAAAGGGGAAAATGAGGAGAAGAGTCATGAACATGTCAGTTTCGTCTGTTCCAACAAGGAACACCTGCACAAAGGGAACATAACACGGCAGAGGTTAAGACAAATCACTGGAACAATCACATGGAAACCCCCGAAAAATGAAGTGGGTCAGTGTTTTACCTTTTTGAGGGGTTGGTTTCAGGGAAACCACGAAAAACAACTGCAATTGTCTGGGCCCCACTCTTTTGACAAACCGAGGTGCAAAAGGGGTTGATTGGCACATTTTGCGGGTCGCCAAATTCCCATGTGGGCAGCGCATACAAAAGGGCGACGCCTTGTACGGCTGCGACTCGGCAAATTTGGGGGGCATCTTATTTTGGGGTTTAGCAGGTCACGCAGGCCCCTCCCGACTGGCCGGGTTCCTCTTGGATTTTTGAGAACTGCCCCCCGAACAAAATCCCAAGAAACCTCCCCCCCCCCCAAAAAAAAAAAAGGTCACCACCGGAGGGCTGCGGAATTGCCCCCCTTTTTGGTACTTTGTACAGCCATATCCCGAGTGATGGGCTTGGGGAGTCCGTCAACTCCTCTGAACAATTTATGGGTTTGTTTGATTGTCATAGGCCATATTGTTTGGCACACAACACCTTGGATCTCAGAGGGAATTTCTGAATGTTTTAATTTTGAAAGGAAGAACTGCTTTGGGAATCCCCTGTAAGGAAACCACCGGGAATTCATAGGGCTCCTCCGAAACGTCCGACTGGAAATTTGTGGGGATCCTGGGCTTCCTCGCTCGCCTGGGGTTACTTGAAGCGGTCCACATTCCCTCAAAGGGTTGCCCCCCCCCTTAATCCGCGCCTAAGCTGCATTGACAGAACTGCATCATTGACTGAGACACAAGCTCCGGAAGCGGTCGGAATCCATGAAGGTCAACAACACAGTATCACCGTATCCTATCTTCTTCTATCACCTCTGTATCTAGGATTCATCCAAATTGAGGACTCTATCCGTTCCTACTGTGGATGGACGAAATGCGATCGCACCACTTTGAAACCATGGCAAACCATTGTTTGATGGTATTTACGTTGAGGAATCGAAAATCATTAACCATGATTTTCCTAGATGGTGCGAAAGAATTGGATTTCGCAACCATCCACACGTCACTGAGAGGAATGGTCACAGCATGTTGTCGTCGGGCAGAACTCCAGCTCAAAGGGTCACAAATGGATGAAATGGGCTTTTCAAAAGCCAAATCGGTTAGCCCCCAGTGAACGGGACCCATTCAATTCAACCACTACAATAGGTTCTACAATGGGTGGTGAATTCACCTACCAACTAAAATGGGATCCCAAAACGGTTTTGACCACCACAGCCAAATGGGTGCTTCCGTGGGGGAACCCCAAAATGGTCAGGTTCACCTTAAATACGACGAGGAAGTTCACTCTTTGGCTTCCCAACATAGGGGGTACACGAAAATGCTCAGTTTCCCCCTGAATACGAAGAGGAAGTTCACTCTTTGGAGAAACGACTCGTTGAACCCCAAATGGCTCGCACCCCCCGTCCTGTCAAAGACTGCGTGGGCCAAAAGGAGTCGCAGCGGAAGCTGATGGACCTCAAAAAGTGGGCCTATCCGCATGTAGAAATATGGCCATGGGTCAAAATCCCGGTTATCCCCCAGTGAACATCCCAATTCCCACCAAAATAGACAAAAATGGGTGGTGCACCTACCCCAAAATGGTACCATTGGTTTTGACCCACAGCCATATCTTTGTTTCTATGAGACCCCCCTACTACCCCCCAAAAAAAGAAAGAAACACAATTCAGGTGGGTTTTTCCTTTTTTAAACCAGCCCCACACAGGGTTGCCCTCACTCCACGAGCGTCGGACCCGTCGGACACAAACCATGCTTACAGAACTGGAATCCCCTTCCCCAAAAAATAGCCATCGGCTTGAGTCTCCTGGAGAAAAGTCAATGCCCTTTGAAGACCGACATGGGAAAATACAAGAATCACATCTTAAGAAGATATGATATAAGATCATACTCTCGGGTCGTATTCTTTGCGGAAAACAGGGTGAGGACAAAAGTTAGGGGTTGGAGTCCCAATTGTGAACATCAGCCAAACATGATGAACTGTTGCACATCACCTCAAGGGGAAGCGACTGATGGGTTCTGCACACGCCCAACATCACAAAAGCTCAAGCTTGGACAACGTACCATTCCCAAATTGGACATGGCAGTGGCTCAAAATTCAAGAGCCAGGGTTACGCAGCTTTTGGTCCATGTTTCCACTTACCAGGGTTCCATTTTTGGTACCGTGTTTTTGAGCCATACCCACATAAGGACATCCTCCAGACCTTTGATCGTGTCGTTTCAGGTGAGCTCGCCATTCCGAGCCATTGTTGTCAAGCAATGCTCAAGGCCGAATCAGAAAAGCATTCGCTTCATTCGTTTGCGCGTCCCCAGAAGGCAAACCGACTGACCTGTGCGTCGTGTTTTCAAAGAGGAAGAAGCAAGAAGCAACGGGGAGCCCAGTGAACAATTATAACATGAGCCGTTGGCACCGCCATGGCCTTTCACGGAATATTGATCAACCCGCTTGTAATGTTGACCCCATATCAATCAACCCCAGTTTGTTCACATGGTGTTCCCCTCCAAGAGTGGGGCATGATTCCAAGCACATTTCACCCAACAAGAAGCACCCTAGTCCTTCTACACTGGGCTCAGGAATCCGAGGTCAACATTCAGCAGCTCCTTTTGGCCATAGCTTCGGCCCCAGCGAGGCGAGGGAGGCGAGCGCAAAGCGAATCTGCTCGCCTCGCGGGCGTTGCTCGGTGGAACGAAAAGGGCTCCCAGCCTTGCAACACAACATGTGTTTTGATTCCAGGCTTGCAACACAACATGTGTTTTGCTTCCAAAACACATATTTAAAAGGACTTGTGTTTTTTATAAGAAACGATCACCACAATGTAGATGTTATTTTACTGATTTTGACCAAGGGCGGAAGCAAATAGAGGCAACAGGATCCTCGCTGGCCACCTAAATGAGATACGGGCTTCAGATTTTCGCCTACATCATCAGAGCGGGGGGTATGTGCCCAGAATCAGTCGCGAGTGAATCATGCGCGAACATTAAGCATCTTAGGATTATCGCAAACAAATTTCTCCTTTGGGCGGCAACCCACCAACACGGGTTACAAAACACCAGTGGAATCCAAGCGGTCTGTGTCAGGTAAGGCGTCCCATGGTTGGATTCCAGATCTCCATCCGCTCGCGGATTTTGAGCTGATTGGGAGCTCAAGCTGCTTAGCAAGCAGATCATCACCCTGGTTTGTCATAAAAAAAAACGTACCCCAATCGAGCGATTGCCCACAACTTGGCGGACGTGGGGACAAGCACATCCGCGATTCTGCCACACCTATAGCCACCAGTTGCTCATTGGGTTTATCTCCCAACCTGTTGTTTCTCCTGTTGTTTCATAGTTGGACCCGGATTCTACACCAGGGCCCGGGGCGGGTAGTTGCCAGACTCCGAGTTTCGGGCACTCGCCTGAAAGACTTTCAGATCGCATGGCCTTCGCAGGAAGGTGAAAGCAACGTGCCCAGCAGGTCCTGGCACAAAAGGAAGCGGCTGCCACCCCTCTGAAAAACTTCTCAAAACTTGACTTACACCACTGCAAAAGGTGAACTCTTTCCCGGTCGAACGAGAAACACAGGGAAAAAAAAAAAAAAAAAACAGGGCAAACCGTCACAAACACACAAGTTTTAAGTGTTGCAATGAAAATCGCGGTCCTGTAACATGTGTGGTTTGCTTTTAAGATCTCCCTGAGAAACACTCAGCGATCAAAACCTGGTAAGCAAGCTGCCTACCCGAAAACGTACGAAGAACCACAAGGGTGGATGGAAGAACATCCGTGTAAACAAGTGCCATCTATTTCCAACCAAACCAAGCACAAAAGGACACTTATGCATCAACCCCTGTTTGATATTAATTGGTGAGTTCCAGATTTGGGATCCGGATCACTTGGGGAAACATGACCTCAATGAGTCCAAGAAACAAAACAAATCGCTTCAGTGGCTTGACCCAGCAAGTCTCAAAGGCTTTACAGGAACATCAACATGGCCCCAAAACACCGTCAATCAGATGTTTCCCGGGGTCAACTTCCTGTAGCCCAACCCTTTGAAAGTCTGCACTCTGTGTTTAACACTGTCGCAAAGCCCGCAGGACCCACAGAAGAAATCGTTGTCCGCGCTCGTCCTCAAAGTTCATGCAGTCACCAGAGTCGTCCTGATGGGCCGGAAAAAAAGGGCGCCTTCGGCGGATGGGATTTTGGGGCTCTTCAAAGTAACCTTTACAAATCGGCATAGGAGTAAGCTATTAGCAATTGTGTTGCCCCATAAATCTTAAATTTGAAAATGCGATTTAAAGGACAATGGGTTGGTCGTGTCAAAGAAGAAATGTGCAATCCAGTCGCCAAGTGTTGACACAACCCGAGTACTCCCGAGTCCAAAGGACAGGACACTCAAAGCTACTGTCACCGGACGATCCTCAGTCAATGTACTTCCCAAGAGATCATAGGAAGCTTGGGTACGTTTGCCTATGTTTGTGGGAAATTGCGTGAGTTTCTCATGACCCCAAATGGATCATAGATTGGATTTTTGACCGAAAACATGTCTCTGCGTTTTCATCAAGGAAGATTTGTCCTTCAGTTCAGAACGTTGCGCTAGCCCCTTCCAAGGTTGCTGTCCTAGAGGGAAATCAACAAGGCACAAATAGCTTGCAAAGTGTACCCAATTTGTCGAGACCTGGCGCTGATTCGACAAAAGGCGCCCTATTCTTCGTTTCCTGGCAACAAGGTGGCCTTTTGGAAAAAAAAACAGGAGAAAAGAAAGAAAGATGGCCCTGGTAAATGGCATAAACCCGAGACCTAAACCAGCGGAACCCGTCAATTTGTTTTAATCCAACTCGCCGATCAAAAGGACACCATGCTCAATCAGAGTCTCCATGAGCCCTGGAAAAAGGTTTCTTAGTCATGGAATATGAGTCCAGGAGAGTCCAGGTCGGCACTTTTGCTCACGGAAGCGCTGCTGAGTTTCGGTGTTTCGACAGGAACCGCCGAAGTGGACCCCTCTTTTCCGCCGCAGTTGGAGGGTCCACCGAAATTCCGGTGACTACCCGACCCAGCCCTTTGGCAAATCAACGCCCCCGAATCCGTAACCCAAAGTTGTGGATGTAAACAGAAACAGCCCAGCTCATTCACATGCACCCTCGATGGGCCCTTTTTTCTTGCCTGAAGTACCACTTGTGGGTCAAAGGCACCATTGGGGGTCCACATGCCCAACAACCAAAAGTGGAGGATGGGCGAACCGATGCCAGTTCCAATTTGCCCCTTTTGGCCGTTTTCGCATTGGAGTGCTTGGGCCTCCCGCCTTTTCAAAATAACGGTAGACATTCCCAAGCATCAGTTGCCCAAAGCACGAAACATGAAAGACTTCAGTTCAGACATCTTGGCTTGCAAACAAAAGCTGGAAACAAAAAACCATCGTGAGGTGGGCTCTGGGCAAACTGAGTAAACTGAGTGCGACACAGTCGCGTCGGTTTCGCACGCAAAGCTTCCAGTGCACAGGAGATCAACTTTGAACCCAAGCACCCGCTACAGGAATCTCCATACTTCGGGAGAGTTCCATTTTTTACTTGGATCATGCACCCATCTAAAGCCAGAATTTGTTCTAGCAATTGGTTCTTGCTCAATGACAAGTGGCCCAGCCGTGGCTAAGGCTGGTCAAAAGCCCTGGGAAAGGCGTGTGACTCGCAACCAGAATCCTTTGCCCTGCATTGAATCGTGTTCTTTGGCTCTATCGTGTCTCTCGATTGCTGGGACGGGACACCTCCCAGTTCCTCGTTCGCTTGTTGCTTTGCGGCCGAGGCCTGCTCAGAAAAGCGCGTCCTAGAGAGCCAGCGATATGTAGACACACACGCGTTTTGCAGCAGTGTATACGGAACGCCTGGAACATGCCACAGGATGGCTGGCCGGCACAAAACTTCAGACTGGGTGGTAAAATGACGGTCTGAACAACACATGGGTGCGTCTGTTTTTATTCCCCCCCCCCAAAAAAAAAGAACACACACACACGAAAGAAAAGGCGAAAGAGTGTGGTTCTACTTTTGGCTTCCCTTTGAAACCAGCCCGGCAAGGGGCTCTCAAAAAAAAGACACACCCCATGTCCATTTGGTTCCTAGTTCAACAAAGGTATTTTCCTCACCCAGCGGCCAACTCTGGAGATAGCCTTCTGCGAATTGCGTAAATCCTTCGCCAACTGGACACCAGAAAAACTCAGGAACTCTCAGCATGTGTGACCTGCTCACTTCCTGAGTGGCCGAAAAAAAAACAACTATTTGCCACAAACAAGGGCTTCCCTCCCACCAACATGGAAGTGCAAAAAGGCACTTTCCAAGAGGAAAGTCTTTCTACAGGGTCTGTGCATTTCCATGTTAGCTGGTGGGGGCCTTGCCAAAAAGTGTCTAAAGTCCAGGAACGCAGGAAGTGAGCCGGACAATGCTGCGGATGGTTGCGAAGTCAGTTTTGTTCGCACCAGTGCAGTCAGCTGGCTAGTGGTTGCAAGATTTGGCGCAGCGTGCAATCAATTCTTGTTTGCCAGTGGCCACCCTTTTTCTGTAGTCTATTTAGCAGGGGAACCATCCCCCAAAAATGTTGGTACAAGGGCACTACTGGGGGACCTAATAATTAAGTCCAGGAAGTAAGGAAGTCAAATATATTATTTCAAATGGTGGAAATCTTGATTACCTCAAGTAACCAGGCATGTGAAAATAGGGGGACCCCCAAGATTGTGGAAAACCCTACAACACTTGTGCACAGGGAATCTGGCAAGTAGTGGGTAAGTAGCTGGTCAATATCTCGGTTGCTTTCTGCTCCCCTGCTACAAGTTTAACTTTGAGTGGTTGAATGCAAAACCCATTATTTGGCAAAAAGTTGAAGTCCGAACATCCAAGCAACATGCAACACAGATATGTTATACTTTCTATTCCTTACAAGACTAAGACATCTGCAGTGAGACAAAGGTGCTGATGGCCACTGGTTCACTGAGAAGATCCATCAAGGCTACCGGCACACCTGATGCGCTTCCCTGGACAAACGATCACCTCATCTCGCCTGAGCAGCGGCATCTACTTGCATGACTCCTATCAACTTAAGTGGGTTAAACCATGGTTCCATCTGATGAAACTGGTGTCAGTCCCCTTAAGTATGTCACATGCTGATTTGGAGCCAAGGGAGCCATTACCGCCCAACTAGGAAATAGTAGGGGCTACCAGGGGACAGTGAGGCCCATTAGAGCCAAACAACATGTAGCAGCGCCCCTGTGTTCTGTGGCGTGGGGTCTATGCCAGGATGGGCCCAGAATACGCCTAGGATAAACCCTTCTAGTGCTGCGAAAGATTCCATCAGAATTGTAAACGTTTATGTGGGTCCAACAAGCAAGCCCGCAATTGCAACAAATGGTTTCGGGCGCCGCCCAATCAATGGTGAGAGTAGCCCATCCGACCCATCCCCTTCATGGGATTCCAACCCTGCCCCCCAAGTTTCCCCGAAAAGACCCTAAGTCCTTCTTCAAGCCTAAGCCGGAAACCGAGGCTTTGGTGGGGGGTAGGGGGGTAGGGGGGTAGGGGGGGGGGGTGGATCCCATAGAGCTTCGACGCCGTTATGGCGCCCATACTTCATGTGGATGTTGACCCCGGATTCTTCACCTCATCCTGGAGTTCCCCTTCAAAGCGATCCGAACCCCGCTAAGAGGGGATACCCCCCTATGAATCAAGGGATGTATTGATCCGGGGTTGCACTGAAAGAGATGACTGAACCGATATCTTCGTTCACACCGTTGCATTGGCTGGGATTTCGGACACACCTGCTGTTTGAGGTCCGCTTCTACCAGTTCGCAGCTGGGGAAGGGGGGATCTGTCAGACCTCAAGAACGTAGAGCCGTTCGCATTTCCGTCAACCTGTTCTTTCACCTCCACATGATTTGTGCAGCGCAAAACCGCTTTGGGGCCCCATGAAGGGCAAGTGCCAGAGTGCGCCAGTGGGATACAACCGTTTCTGAAGCACTGGTCTGCGAGCACTTGGGGAAAGGCTCGGTTTAAACAAACTGTGGTTCTTTGTTGCGGGACCTTGAAAGAGCCTCACTGAGGCTGATAAACATTAAGCACGAGGCTCGTGCAGTTTGCCAGAGGGGTATCAGCTGCTGGGGCACCCTTCTACTTTTGGTTCTACACAGTCATAAAGGCTTGTGTAGGCCAGTGGAACCACCTACATTTCCAATAGCAAGTGTTTGTCGCTGCTCGTTTCCTGCTGTAGCGAAATCAAATAAGATGCTTGATGGGCCATATCCAGTAGGCCACACAATGAGCAATCATCTCAAGAAAGGAATTCCAGTTTGATCCCATCAGAGTCAATGGGCTTAATTCTACCAGGACACCCCTCAACACAAAAGGCATGAAGAGCATCACAAAAGTCATGTGGGCACTTCCGACAAATATCTTGGAGATCTACGGTGTTTCCAACAACCATGGAAGCTGACAGAAGGTTTCAGAAAACTGAAGTGCTTTTGAGTCCCCCTGTCCACTTCCATACACCAAAAAAAGGACAAGCAGGGGATGCATGGACAAAAATGAAGGGAACCCCAAAGAAAGGAGAAACACTCGCGGCCAGGTCCTGGGGGTTCTGGCAAACCTCAGATTTCGCATATTTTCACCGAGCATGTCCTTACACAACTCCCGGTAGCTCTCTCGTTCCCTCCCAAAGGTAAATTTGGATACTTGGGTGGTCGAGCTGGTGACAACCCGAAGGGGTCTAACCCCAGTTACCCCACGGTCGAGGTCTCCCAGCTCCGCAGATTCTTTTCCGAGGCTCCGAGGTGTTTAACCTGGACTTCACTTGGCACACGATGGGATCCTTCTCCAGCGCGGCCATAAACTGCCGAAAGCCCCGCAGCAAAGGCAACGACCTGTCCTGAAGCAGGCACTTGCGGGCAGGGGAAAGGGCATGTGTGCTTAAAAAGTGTGACATGTCAACATGGAGGATTTCGTTGCATATCTAGAACTAAGTAGCTTAAAGATGTACATGATCTCTGTTTTAATATATGCTGGTGAATGTCCAAGGCCTTCTTCTGGAACATCCATGAATATCCAGGTAGGGGCCAGGTCTTCTGTCAATCACTTGAAAGCATGGCCCGACCAGGTTCGGTTGGGACAAGCTCCAGGGCAGTCCTTGG